TATTCATCAGATATAATAAGTTTTCATCTTTGTTTTTATGTTACATTTTGTTATGTAGCAATTACAGGAGGGTAATCAAGTTTTTGGTTTTTTTCTTTAAGAACTGGTAGTGAAATCTTCCACTCTCATGCATCTTAGACAGTACTAAATTAATTTAAAAAGGTAATTGAAATTCCCCAACTGAAACATCACAGCAGTTTTCTCAGAACACCATATCTATCTCCTGTAAATGTTCCAGACTGAGTTGCCAGAATGTTGATTTCATTAGAAAACCAAAATAGCAACAATTGGTGAGAGTAAGCAGAGGAGCCTCATGGTTTGCAGATATTGAAAAACCCAGTCTCTCCTAGGCAAGTAATAGCATTAAGTGCTCTTTCACTTCCATATAATTTTTCTTCCCTAAATACAATTTTTTGCTTTGCAAATGTGCCAGTAAACTTTACCAACTCTCTCCAAGGTAGGCAATGAACACCCTCTGTGGTGGTTGATTTTTGTCCTCTATTTGCGGGAGTTAGGGACCATGAAGACAAGAGGGTCTATCATTGTGGACTTAACAGTTGCCAGTGATGTTTGAAAGGGCTGGGGTAGGGAAGGAGTGACATGCTCCCAGTCCTTCCTCTCTTCTTCAGGGTATAACAAAATGCAGCCATTTCTAGGGTGGAACAATGCAGATGTTCAAAAGCTACCAGCAACTGTACAAGTGCAACAAAATTGCCCAGTTCACAGCAGGCAATAGAGAGTAATATTCAGTCTAAATGAACTTGCAGGTTAATTCAGACAGACAAAATACAAGTTTATGAATTGGATTTACACTCCTTCTCATCTGAAAATATTTTGGAAACTTTAATGAGGCAAGGCGTCAGGGCCTCCGTGTATGGTATGCTGAAAGCAGCCTGAAAGGTAGAACAGCCTTTACCATCACTGTGGCCTGGGAGGTCAGTACTTCGGAGGAGGGAAAAGGGAGAATCACTTGCATGATCCGTGTGCTCAGCAATCCCTAATTGCGTCCCAGTGGCCCCTCTGACTGGCCAGGCCCAACTTTGGTTCAGGGTACTCTGACTCACTACCTGCTCAATTAGTGTCTGATCTTGAAAAAAAAACCCAAACCAAAAAAAACCCCAACCAAAAATCCAGGTAAGGAAATAATTCTTCCTTTATTGTGGCCCCATGCCTGAGCTGAAACAGGACTGGGTGATAGTGGATAGTCACTGTAGGAAGTATCTGTTAACACCGGTTACTTAAGAGAAAATATATACAGCAGTGAATGCATGCCCAGGATTTTAACATTACCATATTATTTTCTCTGAATAACAGCAGCTACATCAGTCCAATATTCTGAAAACCCTTTACTGTCTGTGTTTTCATTTTATATAGGGCAGTGTTTAAAGCGTGTACTCCAATATATTTTCTAATTGCCATTGAGATTGCTTAATCAAAATAGCAGTATTCACTTCCGTTGTACCCTTATTTATGTTTCTATTGTGCTTAGTTTTTTCTATTAGAAATGTAACTGAGTCACAAAACTGATGTATTTCTTCTTACAGTAGTATTCTGTTTGCTGAAATATTACATCTTTCCTTTTTCTTCATGTAGCATTTTTAATCTGACCTCAGTCACACTGCTTTTTTTTTAGAAAAACATAATCCCTTCAAAATTTGATTGCTTCTTTTTTACCAGTCTTTGCTTTTATTTTAAACAAATACAACTTTTGTAAATATTAATTTCCATTTTGCTTGTAAAGTGCTTTACACTAAACTGTAAACTGTTTTCCATAGGTCTTTACACAGTAGACAAAACACAAAAGATTTTAGTGATTATATGTAAGCAAGACAGGAAAAGAAAGTAATCTCTTTATGTAAACAGCTTTTAGGACCCTTGTGATGTTGTGCAAAAGCAAACCTGTTGCTTTGTCTGCAGGACATACAAATGAAATTAAAAGGAGAAAGTTTCAACAAAAAAAGCACCTTTTAAAATGTAGCATCTTTGGGGGTTTATGAACTATTCCTTGAGATGAAATATGCTTTTCTTTAAAGAACATACCCGATATTGCCCACATCTTCCCCTAGAGCATGGTTTAGAATATATTTTGATTTAAAAAAAAAAAAATCATATAGCACTGAACTGCAGACACTTGTCACAGCCATGTGTTAACACCATCCATCTTAACTGCTACGAAAGCTGTACTATAGCTGTCATTGTGAGAAATACAGGCCCGTAGCTCAAATGCATCACAGTCTTGTTCTGATTCTTCCTGGCAGCTTGTCCTAAGGCTGTATTTTAAGGACAACCTCTAAATGAAAAGTTTAGGTTAGGGTTTAGGTTTCCTGGAATCACACATTGTCTTAATGCACGCAGTGTGCTATGAGGTAGAGACATTGAGTTCTGCAGTTTGTCCATGAGAGGCTTTTATAGACCTCTAGTAGTAACTTCAGGGAACAGATCAATCCCAAATGATGATGATGATAATAATAATTAAAAAAAAAAAAGTTGGTCTCTGAAAGATTTGAGTTAGCCTTCTACAGAGCCTGTATTGGTTCTTATTCAATAATCTCCCAAGCTGATGGATGACTATGTGTGTTCTTTGTTTCAGAACTAATAGAAAAAATTGTAGTGAGAACTTCAAAAAGTGAGATTTTAGCGGCAGGGGATTTGCTATGTTTTAATATAGATGAAAAAAGCATGTAGATTTAGACAAATTCTTCTGTTTACTTCACCAGTACTAACTCCAAATTATGTCTGAAATATATGAAATGTCATTAAGTTTTCAGCAGCATTGCATAGATACAACTTCAGGATAAATTGATTTTTAAGAAATGTAATTTAACCTACAATATCTTCATTATTGATGATGATAGAGAAGAAACCAGTCTGATTCTCAGATTTTAAGATACAGTTTAATTAAAATGATTTGATTAAAATGAAGTGACAACAGCTTAGCAATCCTGCAATCTCATTGTTATGAAATTACTTTCCAGACTAGGAATGCACTTAAATCTTTAATGACATTTCCACATTTCTGAAATTGAAAACCTTAAATTACTTTTAATGTTATAGGTGGAAACTGTAGAGAAATACTACTTGTAGCTTCAAAACATTCAGACCATGACATGCTGGGTGCCTTTTGTCTCAGTGTTCCAGGCTAAAGGACAATGGAAGCGAAGCGGCGTCCTTGAGGAAAGGTGCCTTGATCCACTTCCCTGGGCAGGCCTCAAAAAGGGGAAGAACTGACAACGCTATAGCTTCTCCTTGCTGTCTTCTGCTGATCTCATCTTTCAGTTTCACTGGAGCTGATTTCAGGGACGAGAAATCTGATAGTAAGTATTCAGTAGCCAAGTAAGTGCACGGTTCTTCAGTGCTGAATTATCCACAGCTGCTTACTGTTAATAGCTATGAGCTAGACACAACAGGACTGGTGGGACAGTGACCCGCCTGTCTCCACAACAAAACAGGGAATGTCCAAACTTAAAGCTGTTATTTTCCCCAGTGGCATGGTATTTCAAAATAATTTTGTGTAACTGAAGGTAATGGTATGTGTCCATAAAACCAGCAAAAGAGATAGGGACAACTGGTGAAACTACAGGACAGCAATGACGAAAGGCATTGTTTTGCGTCCTGCTTATGAAAGAGTCACTGATACTCCGCAGCCAAAACCACATCCAGTTTAACTGATGCTTGACACCTCGTGGACAAAATTTTCCATTCTGATTAGACAGTCGTGAGAGATTTGAAAGGTTTTAGATTTTCTCTGACATATCCAAGAGTATAAGCTCTGATAACCTGTAGAAAGCCAGCTTATATTATTCAGTCGTGAATCCAGCTCTGGATAGCAAAAATATGGGCAGGTCAAGACTTGTTCTTGCCCACTTTGTGTTGCTTGCTGAGGCTTCTTGTGAGTCTTTCTTGTAAAGGATGCCCCTGTGTACCTTCATTTTGACATCTGTTTCAAAGGCACTGGGGTTTTTTTCAGAATTGTTTTGTATAGTAATGAATGTTTTTGACAATCTTGTCTGAGATAGCCATTACTGAGATTTAGCACCATGTAAAACTTCACTACTTTCAAAAGCTTTATTAAGGTTGTAGAACAAACACTCCAAGGACAAGAAAGCCTATGAAGCCTGAATTCCAGGTGCATACGAGTTGTGAAGCTGTCTTTGAGTGATGACTGTTTTCTGGTTGCTAATCCTCTGCTACGTTCCTTCTTTTTACTTTAGCACCACAATGAATGTTTGTTTTTTGACTGGAAGGAACAGTCACTTTACCAATACATCTTTCTCCTGTTACTCCCATGTTTCTGCTTTGTTAATTAGAATAACATTGAGTCTATCCTGTAACTGAGGTAGTATTTTAAATGTACTTGAATAGTAACTAAAACTAGAGCATGCAAACAGGTAAAGTACCTGTATCGCATTTCGCTCTAGATATTCAGGTGGCATAATTTTACATATATATATAGATAGCCACAGATAAAAATGTGGTTTTAAAGCACATATGAGAAAAAGTGTCGTATTTTTAGGACATTTCTATGTTTAAAGAGGAGTTTCACCCCTCATGTAGAAGGAAAAATGAATTATGATAACAGTGCTAAGCTGCAGGTACTGCGTGTATCGGTTTCTAGTGGATCTAATCAAGCCGCTCCGTATCTTTCCCTCTGGGACGCCACTTCAGCCCTGCCGTCAGCTTTTTTCCGAGCCCTTTGCCGTTTCTGAACACCCTTCACCGGCGCGGTCAGCGCTCCCGGCCGCCGCGGCGGGGAGGGGCAATGTGCGTCTTCCCCGTCGCGTTAGGTCGCAATGGTGGCGGCTCCACGGCGCTGGCTGTCGTGCGAGGCCGCGGGCCCCGGGCCCCTCTCCCTGCCGGCCGCCGCGC